AAACCATGAAAGAAAATAAGCTCTAGCCCAGATTGATATACCCTGCTAAACTGTCTCTAGAAATTAATAGAGAAACAAGATGCTTCCAAGACAAAGAGGAACTTGGAAAATTCGCAACCACCAATCCAACTCTATAGAGTATACTGCAGGGCATTCTAGAGAGAGAGAAAAGTACTAGGGTTCCAGGAACAGTACCAGAGAGGCTTCAATGAATGGAGCAGAAAGCAGAATGAAGACGATAAGCAGACAACTGATGGCAAAAAAAAGAGCGTAACAGAAATGAGGCAGGATGGGGCTGGGGATTTAGCTCAGCGGCATAAGCATCTGCCTTGCAAGCAGGTGATCGTGAGTTCGATCCCTGGTACTGATAAAAAGTTAAAAAAAAAAAAAAGGAAAGAAATGAGGCAGGAGGTTGGATATAATCTCTTAATATAGATGGCCCTGATACACTAAATTTAAAAAAAAAAAAAAGACACATGTGAAGTAGATCAGGAGGTAGGGTCTACTGAGATGCTATTTATAGGAAATATAATTAACATGAAAAAGAGTACATGGACTGAAAATCAAATATGAGAAAACAACGCTTTATGTGACAGAGAACCAGAGAGTAGTAGGGGCAACTAGACCAGTATTTGTGGGATAGGTAGCAAAGACAAGCTTTAACAGGTAAAGGAATACAATTAGAGATCAAGTCCAGGAGAGAGAAGGTTCGGAACCACTTAGGTAAATATCAGGTTGCCCCCCAACCCAGTTTAACCAAGGGTCTTGGTCAGATCCCAAAATGCACAGTGTAACCTGGGGAAGTGAAAGGAGAGGGAGAGTCTTAAAAAAGATGGCAAAAGATACTGTTAATAGTGTATCAGGATTTATAACCCACATTACTAGCACCACTCTGGTTAGATAAGATTTTATTCTGTCCCAGTGTCTATTTGCATTAGATTTGAGGGCACAGATAGCTATCCCAAAACATCAGAAAATAGCACAGTAATCATCTTTAATTTCCTATTAACTTAATCTGGAGCCCTATACGACTTATACTGTTTAATCATGACTGATCTTAGTTAAATCTGGTTTGTCTGATTGCTGTTTGGTATCGACAGACTTTATTCAAAACTGATATGATTAATAGTATCTAGTCGGAGAATACAGGCAACTACACTGAAGATGACAAGACTCACTATGATACACATTCTGGTTTCATTACTGCCTGTTTTTGAAGTTTTATAATATATACAAAGTTGTGTTTTTATTAATACTGGTATGTACTGATATATTCAATTATACTATATCTAATGATATAGCCAATTCTATTGAAGATAACAAGAGACAACACAAGAACTATGGTAGAATTCCTTGTACAACAGTCTTATATGTCTTTTTCGTTTCATATGTTTATAGGAATACATTTTGTTTTGTCTTGCTTTGTTTTGTTTCTCCCTCTAATATAGAAAGGATAGAAATACATATTAAGACTCATGCATTTAGCCAGGCGTGATGGCTCATGCCTGTAATCCCAGCACTCGGGAGGCTGAGGCAGGAGGATTGTTGTGAGTTCAAGACCAGCCTGGGGAGGCTGGGGATTTAGCTCAGGCAGCATAAGTGCCTGCCTTGCAAGTGTGCGGTCGTGAGTTCAATCCCTGGTACCAATTTAAAAAAAGAAAAACAAAAACAAAAACATGAAAAAGACAAAAGGGAAAAAAAAAAAAAAAGACCAGCCTGGGCTACAAAGTGAGCTCAAGGCCAGCCTGAACCACATAGAGAGACCCTGTCTCAAAAAGACAAAAAAAAAGACTCATACATGTGTAGAACCTATAAACAGCTTATGAGAACTGATCTTATGACAGATGATGAAATGAACAAATACTTTGAAGAAAAACAGATAATAAAGTACCCAGTGCTAATCCTGGAGTGTCATAATGTAAAACCCAGCAATATACTTTGTTCAGAGTGATATTAGCCTCCTTGGGTTTGTTCAATCTCAACATAATTGAATATATGGATAACTGCATGTATGTTTAAGTGTATAGAATTGATAACCATATTTCTAAGGTTTTGTTGGATAGTTGAACAGAACTGGTTGCAGTCTCACTGTTTGAATGCCCATTTTATATGTTCCATTTTAGTATCTTGAATAACTATTTGCAAGAGGACAATCTGTAATCATCAACGAGTGATTTCTTACTGTTTACTTTTTCTTTGAAAGTTATGTATTATTTCTACCCGTTTTCTGTTGTTTAGTCTTTCTTTAAACTTAGGGAAAAAAAAAAAAAAAAAGACCCTACAGTACCCACTGCTGATCCCAGAGTATCATGATGTGAAATCGAGCAATACTATTATTCTTTGTTCAGAATGATTTTAGCGGGGCTGGAGATTTAGCTCAGTGGCATAAGCACCTGCCTTGCAAGCAGGCAGTCGTGAGTTCGATCCCTGGTACCGATAAAAACAAAAAAGACCAAAAAAAAAAAAAAAAAAAACCAGAATTTTAGCCTGCTTTAGTTTGCTTAATCTCAACATAAATGAAGATATGAATAACTGCATGTATGTTTAAGTGTATAGAATTGATAACCATATTGCTAAGCTTTTGTTGGATAGTTGAACAGAACTGCAGTCTCGCTGCTGGAATTCCCATCTTGTATCTTGAACAACTATTTGTAAAAGGACAGTATGTAAACATCAACTAGTGATTTCTTGTTTATTTTTTCTCTGAACATATGTACTATTTCTATCCATTTTGTTTTATTTAGTCTTTCTTTAAATAAAAATTTTTTAAAAAAGAAAGATTAAATAAAATTGATGGGACTGGTGATTTAGCTCAGCGGCATAAGTGCCTACCTTGCAAGCATGCAGTTGTGAGTTCGATCCCCAGTACCAAAAAAAAAAAAAATTGTTTTGATAAACACTTATCCAAAAAAAAGGAAAAGACTCATTCCCACAATTGGGAATCAAGAGTGAGGGCTGGGGATTTAGCTCAGTGACATAAGCACCTGCTTTGCAAGCAGGCAGTCGTGAGTTCGATCCCTGGGACCAATAAAAAAGAAAAAGACAGAAAAAAAAAAAAGAATTACAGTACTCTGAAAAACAAGAAGATTCAAGTGGATATTAGAAAATGGAAAGATGTCCTGTGCTCTTGCATAAGCAGAACCAATACAGTGAAAATGGTCATACTTCCAAAACTGTTATACAGATTCAATGTAATCCCAATCAAGATTCCAACAGCATATCTCACAGAATTAGAGAAAGGAATCCTAAAAGTCTTCTGGAACCTGAAGAGGCAATTCTGGGCAACAAAAACAAGACTACTAACTATTTGGTGCCATTTCCTTGATGAATGTTAAGGGACATCAGCAGGTTTTTTGGCTTGTGTCTAGATGTTCCCCAAAGCTTCATGTGATTATAGGTGGGGCTTTTTGGATGTGGCTGGATCTAAACTGTGTATACTAGGATTAATTCAAAGTGCAAGGCTAGGATTAAAAGTATGATTAAGGCAGGCAGCCTACTAAGATATAAGGGACAGAATGAACTTCAATGATTGTCACTCACTTGTAGCCTGTCACAGTCTACCATGGACAGTTTCTCCTCTGTGATGCCTCTACCATACCACCATGTCTTGGAGCCAGCGAACTATGAATTGACACCTTTCCAAACTACAAGCCAAATATACCTTTCCTCCTTTAAGTATTTTGTCTTGGTAATGAGAAAAGTAACTGAGACAGCAGGTTTACTCCTCTTTGCTTTTGTAAAATTAGTGGTCAACACAGCAAAAAAAAAAAAAAGTCTCATGACAAAATACAATCTCCATGGATCCCTGGAGAGGTCCTGGGAATCCCCCAAAGAATACAACAAAAAACCATTCAGGCCTAAGAATGTAGTTCAATGGTAGGGTCCTGAGTTGGACCCTAAAAACTTAATAAAGAAATAAATACGGGACTGGGGATTTAGCTCAGCGGCATAAGCGCCTGCCTTGCAAGCAGGCAGTCGTGAGTTCAATCCCTGGTACCGGTAAAAATGAAAAAGACAAAAAAAAAGAAATAAATACAACTTTGAGTACTGTTGAATAAAAGCACCAACTTCCAAAAGGAGAAAGTTATCTAGGTACAGATTCATGCTATAATATTAAGAAATTTCCTGTTGCTTATTCATTAAAAAAAATTTCAATTATAGTAAAATCATCCAGTAAAAGCAAGAGGGAAGCCAGGCGTGGTGGTGCACACCTGTGATCTCAGTATTCAGGAGGCTGAGGCAGAAAGATCAATTGTTGTAACACCAGTCTGGGTTACAAAGTGAACAAGGCCAGGAGCTGGGGATTTAGCTCAGCGGCACAAGCACCTGCCTTGCAAGCAGGTGGTCGTGAGTTCGATCCCCAGTACTGATTTAAAAAAAAAAAAAATAAAGAAAAGAAATAAACAAAGTGAACAAGGCCAACCTAAACTACATAGCGAGACCCTGTCAAAAAAGAGCCCTGTCAAAAAAAAGGCAAGCAAGAGGGTTACTAGAATAGAATGTTTAAGATTATGTGAACAAAGAGTTGTCCAGCAGAATTTGGAGATCACAAGTGATCAACAGAATTAAGTTACTTTTAATTCTAACATTTTAATACAAAAAATCCTGAGGATTGGCCTACTATGCTAGTGCACACCTGTAACCCCAACAGATGGGAAGGCTGAGACAGGAGGAGTTCCTTGAGTCCAAAGCCAGTCTAAACTACACACTGGCTCCACATCTCAAAAACAAAACCTGAAAACATTATTTCCAGCACTCTATACATGTTACAGACAAGAGGTTTAGTCTTTTTTTTTTTTTTTTTTTAATCGGTACCGGGGATCAAACTCACGACTGCCTGCTTGCAAGGCAGGCGCTTATGCCGCTGAGCTAAATCCCCAGCCCCAAGAGGTTTAGTCTTGTTAGCAGTTAAAATAATGAGCCAAGGGAAAGGAAAACTAAAAAGAATTAAAATGTGGGGCTTTAGTTCCTAAGAATCTGTGCCATGTAATTTATCTTACCTTTCCACTTTATCTGAAGAAGTAGAAGGAGCAGGAGCATCTTCAATTCTGTAATAAAAAAAATAGTAAAAATGGAGCTATTTAAGGCTGGTAGTTAAATTCAGAAAAATATAAAGGAATAGAGGTATCATTTATTTATTAAACTCTAAATATAAGACTGGAGAGATAGCTTAGTGGCATAACATCTGCCTAGCATGAGGTCCCAAGTTCAATTCCCACTACCAAGAAGAAGAAAAGCTGGGGCTGGGGATTTAGCTCAGCGGCATAAGTGCCTGCCTCGCAAGCAGGCAGTGGTGAGTTCAATCCCTGGTACCGATAAAAACGAAAAGACCAAAAAAAAAAAAAAAAAAGAAGAAGAAGAAGAAAAGCCAAATATAGACCAACTATTATTGATTTACTTATGTTAATTATCCACTCAAAACTGTGGAATAGAGAATCACACAACTTTTTTTTTTGAGACAGGGTCTCGCTATGTGGTTCAGGCTGGTCTTGGGCTCTCTTTGTAGCCCAGGAGGATCACTGCCAAGTTCCAGTACAGCCTTAACTATCTAGCAAAACAATGTCTCAAAAAACAAAGTTTCCGGAACAGTTCATAGGCATCAAGTATAGTCCTCAGGTCAGTATTACCTTAGCACTAAAACCAAACTAGCACAAAAGACTATTCCACACTTGGCCAACAAAATTTAAAAGCAGGCCTCAAAATGACTACCTGCAGGCATGGTGAGCATGCCGGTAATCCCAGTACTCAGGTGACTGAAGCATGAAGATAAATGAGTACAGACCAACCTGGGCTACATAGTGAGTTTAAGGGTAGCTTGGATTTCATAGTGAGTTCAAGGCCAGTTTGAAATACAAAGTGAGACATTGTTCCAAAAACAAAAAAGAAGGAAAGCTTTTTGCTGCCTTTTTCTTCCTATAGCATTCCTCCAACCCCAAATCAAAATAATTTTTCAGTATCTTTTAAAGATATATAATCCATTTTATAATAGCTGCTTTTTTGTGGGTTTTATTGTTTTTGGATTTTTGTTATTGGTGGCACTAGAGATTGAATCCACAACCTTCATACTGAACTACATTCCAAGCTCCTTTTAATTATTTTAAAACAGATGTTGACAAATTGTCTAGGTTAGGTCCAAACTCAAGGTCATTCTGACTCAGCCTCTAGAGTACTGTCTGTAACAGGTAAACTAAATCACAGATAAGGTCATGGTCATGGTGTACTATTGGTACTATTATTAAATCTCAATTCTTCCCTACTTTAGAAAACCCTTCCTTAATATAATATAAATTTGAAGAACTAGAAATTTCATCTTTCTCACTGACTTCTTCCAGTTCCCACATCAAAACAGATAGGAACATGTATATCAAAACAAACCAGCAACACAGTGAAGAGGTAACCCACAATCTGTAGTTTTTTGAGACCAATTCTCTCTGAAATTCAGGTTGGACCTGAACTTACTATGTAACCCAGACTGGCTTGGAACTCCCAGCAATCCTCCTGCCTCAGTCTCCCTGCTGGAATTACAAGCAAACACCACCATGTCCAGTAAGAGACAACCCAATGTGGGAACATTTTTAATCAGGTCTTCCTTAAAGGACTAATATTTAGAATATATAAAGAATTCAAAAAACCAAACCCTACCCCAATTTAAAGACCTAATCCAAAAATGGGCACCCGATATAAATAAATACTTCTCAGATGAAAAAGTAGAAACAGAAAATTAAAATATGAAAAAGTGTTCAACATCAGTGGTCATTTCAGATGCAAATGAAAACAATGCTGTAATTTCATCTCACTCCAGAAAGGGTAACCATCATCAAGAAATCAACCAATGGGGCTGGGAATATAGCTCAGCAGTATAAGTGTCTTCCTGGCAGGCGCAAGGTCCTAAGTTTGATTTCTGGTTCCCTCCTTCCCCCCAAAAAAAGGATAGAGAGAAAAATCAACTAATAACAAATGGTGTGGGGCTGTGCAGAAAAAAAATAAACTCTTCTCCATCAAGTCTCAAAAAAAAAAAAATAGATCAGCCTAACTACAGAGTGAAACCTTGACTGAAAAAAACAATGAATAGGGGCTGGAGATTTAGCTCAGCGGCATGAGTTCGATCCCTGGTACCGATAAAAAGGAAAAAAGACAAAAAAAAAATGAGTAAAACAAATGAAAACTTTGCAGCTGCTCTCCAGTGCTAACATCACTACCTCAGCCCTAACATTACTGCCTCAGCTCCATCTTAAATCGACAGTCAACAAATTTTCATAAAAAGCACACACCCTGGGGCCAGCGCTATAGCTCAGTGGCACAGCACCTGTTTGGCAAACTCAAGGTCCTGAGTTCAGATTCCTGGTTCCAAAAAGGAGGGGGAAAAAAAAGCAGCACACACCTGGATCTCTCCAATATGCAGTTCACTATACAATGGGTTCACACACTTATAAAAATCTCAGATGCCCTAGTTGAGTGAGGAGCGCAAGCTCAGGAGGTAAACTAGAGGTACAGGGTAGCCTTAGGCCTGCTGTAGCTGACTCATTTCCGGCTGTGCAGACAGCCAGTGGGGACTGTCATAGAAGACTGATAAATTCTACTCCATCTAATTTGTTTCAGGAAAGGCTACTTAGCAAATATACAGAGAAATGGACAGCAGTACTAGGGAATCAAACCTCGGGGCCTTAGCAATGTTAGGTAAGTGCTCTACCCTTGAGCTACAACGACCCATAGAATTTTAACAATCAATAGCAGGAGAAAAACCTAGTGGAAAAAATTAATGGGCATAAGTAAACTCACAGAAAATGAAACACAAACACACGTACCTGTTCCTCATTCTTAGGAAAAACAAAATGGGAAGGCTTTTATCTACAAAATAATAAAATATGAACTGGGCAGCACACATTTGCCACCCAAGTATTAAGAGATAGAAGATGTAGGATTTTCAAATTCTAGCCCAGCATAAGCAAGTTAGTGAGACTGTCTCAAAACATAAAGAGCATGGTGCCACATGCCTAAACAATGGCGCTAGTAACAAAAGCAAACAACATAGTCTGATTGAGGATTTCTCATCCAAATTTTTTTCTCTTTACTATTTTACCAATTTTTAACCTTTCAATGGTTAAAACAAATTATAATGAGCGCCTTTTTTTTTTTTTTTTTTTTTTTTTTTTGAGACAGGGTCTCAGTGTATAGACCAGGCTGGCCTCAAATTTATGGCAAACCTCCTGCCTCAGCCTCCCAAGTGCTGGGATTACAGGCATGTACCACCATGCTCGGCCTAAGCATTCTTACCTAAAGCCTAAAGTAAAGTTTTTTTCTTTACCTTGCCCTAAACAACTCAGAAGATTTATTTCTTAATAGTTCCACCAGTTAATTTACAGGTACTTAACTGAGATGTGCCATTTTTAATGTTCTCTTAGGCTAACTAGATAGGTAATTTCCTGCCAGTTAAGTCTTTGGAAGAGAATTAGGCTAACTAGAGTCAGGTAATTTCCTGCCAGTTAAGTCTTTGGAAGAGAAGAGGAAGCGAAAACTGAAATACTAGGACTTAAACTGGAGCGTCGCTTAATTTCTCTATCTTCATCTAGAGTACTTTCACTTACAGAAGACATTAAATACCACTTTACACTGTATTCATGTATATCAAATAAATTTTATTCAGAAACCATCAGGGCCAGGCATGGTGGTCCACTTCTGTAATTCCCAGCACTTGGGAGGCAAAAGCCAGAGAATCACCATAAATTCCAGGCCAGTCTGAGCTAACTTACAGAGTTCAAGGCTAACCCACTTGTCTCAAAACAAAACCTGGGCCAGGGGTCTAGCTCAGCAGCCTAAGTGCCTGCCTGTTGAGTTCTATCCGTGGCGCCAAAAAACAAACCTCAACACATATAATCGCTCATTTTTAGTTTACATTTATGGCTAAAAAAAAAACTTTTTTTTTCTCCAGGCACATACAATCTGTAAATGACATTACAGAAAATTAAAGGTTAGTTCACTAATAACCTAACAGGCTAGAAATAGATGACCTCCAATATACAAGAGAAATTTGTTCATACTTTTATTACCTATTAAAAACACACACCTTGGGCCGCGGATTTAGCTCAAGGCATAAGCCTTGCAAGTGCATGGTTTTGAGTTCGATCCCCAGTACAAAAAAAAAAAAAAAAAAAACACAACACACACAACTTTTAAGTACTGGAGGGGTTAAGTTTCCCTCCAGTACTTAAAAGTTAGAATATTGACTACTAATTAGGTAGCACCGTAAAAGGGAATTTCTTTTTTTTTTTTTTTTTTTTTTTTTTGTCTTCTGAAGCAGGGTCCCTCTACCCTCTATAAAACATAGCCCAGGCTGGCCTCAAACTCTCAGTGATCCTCCTGCCTCAGCCTTAGCCTCCCAAATGTTCTGATTATAGACTAGCACCACTACTCCCAGCGAGAATTCTTTGTGTAACAGATATACAACAGAACTATCTTGGCTCCATTGAACCAATGTCGAAGAGCTGGGCATGGTGGCAAATGCCTGTAATCTAGACAGTCAGGAGGCAGAGGAAGGAGGATTGCCACAAGTTTCAGGCCAGGCCAAACTAGAGACACTGTCTCAAAAAAAAAAAAAAAAAAGTAATAAATAAGAAGCCAGGGATACAGCTCAATAGCACAGCACCTGCCTGCCTAGTATGGGGTCATGGGTTTGATTTCCGGTACCAAAAATAAATACATACATAAATAAAAATTCCCAATTGATTTTAAAGGTAGTTTGAGAACCACTGCTTTTCATGACCAACTAGGAAGGGCAGAGACAAAAAAAACCTCAGATTAACTACATTTAAAGACAATTAAACTGTGGGTGGAGGTTGGGTGAGAGATATAGCTCAGTACCTGCCTGGCAAACTCGAGGCCCTGAGTTCGATTCCCAGTACCAAAAAAAAAAAGCAAAAATCTGTAAGTAAACCTCGGGTGGTGGCACACCTCTGTAATTCCAGCTCTCTCAAGGCTAAAGCAGAAAAGATCGCTGAAAAAGACAGAGACCACCCTAAGTTACATTAAGTTTATGGCCTTTCTGTATTTTGTTTCAAAAAATGTAGTTTGTTTCAAAAAAAAAACAAAAAAGGAAGGCAGTCAGGCAGGTAGGGTTGGTTATAAACCGATAGGAAAAAAAAAAAATCAAGCCAGGTGTGGTGGCGCACGCCTGGAATCCCAGCACTCGGGAGGCTGAGACAGGACAGAAGGATAGCTGGGAGCTGGAGGCCAATTTGAGCTACAAAGTGAGTTCAAGGCCAGCCTGAACTGCATAAGTAAATCTTATCTCAAAAAAAAAAAAAAAAAAAAATCAAACCCATAGCAACTTTTTCTTTTACAGGATAAGCGACTAACAAGTCCACAAGAGAAAGAAACAAAACCAGGCCCATAAAAAAAAATATGCAAAACAGCACTATGTCCACGAAATGATGATGTTTCTATTTATTATTCAAAAGTTGCTTATGCTTGAATGGAACTGTACCGCTTTCAAAGCAATAGCACCTTTTTTTTTCCTTCCACTTGCATACCACCCACTCTGCAACAAGTGAAAGCTAAGAGCTCCATGCAGCGCGGAGCGCGGAAGCTGCCAACCCGACAACATATCCCAGGAAGCAGCCTGACTCCTGCCCAAAGTCTGAAGAATACGATGCTCCTCAACACAGGCAGGGGCACTCTCACAGTAGGTCTTGATACCTACGTTGTGAGGGAAGCACAAAGTGAGCAAGGTGGCAGCAGGACAGATAGAACGCAACTCAACGCGCGGAAGTTTAAGCAGAATGCTGAAGCCTCCCAGTCCCAAACAATGGAGTTTTCCCGCCTCCTTAAGGCTCCGCCCCCTGCTCCACAGCCGGCACAAGACCCCGCCCCCAATGCCCCGCCCCCTTGATCCCACGGGTCCAGCCTCCTTCCTCGTTCTTTTTTTTTTTTGGCGCCAAATCTGTAGGTCTCATTCCCCGGGTGTTTAGGGACTCAACCGGAAGGCGCATACTACAAGCGCTCGGGCGGCAGAAGCATAAGGGTAGATCGGCGCGGCGCAGACCAGCCTCCTTCCCGGCGACCCCAAGCAGGGGGATGAAGACAGGGGCCAGAGAGTGCCGCGGCCCCCGGCAAGATGGCGGCCGAAAAAAGCAGGGCAGGGGGCGCCAGCCGCCCGCTGTTACCGCTCGCTCTTGCGCGGGCTCTTTGCTAACGGAGTGTTGCTCCGCTGTCTAGACGACTCCCCCCCGACCATCAGCAGCAGCTCCATAGAAAGCAGTCCTCTCTCCTCTTGTCTAAAGTCTCCGACGGAGCCCCAGCTCACCAGCCCTCCCCACGGACTCTGCCAGTGCTTCGAAATCGTCGCGGTCTCCCTTACTTGTCAGCGGAGACTAGATCCGCAGCGATGGCAGCTGTAGCTGTGGACTCTGTGGCCATCGTTCCCCTGCGGTGCTGGGCCTCTGGGCGGAAACGAGCCTGTGAGGTAAACGAAGGGAATTTGGGATACCACAGCCTCACTTAGAACAGAAAATGGCAGATTGGAGACCCCGCGCGGCCAGAGCTCCCTTATATACTAGGGCTCTTGCCCCGCCTATCTACTTCCGGATTCCCCCCCTCAGTTTAAAGGGCCAGGACTCAAGTCGCCTTTCTATCCCAAGGACACTCCCAATCTCCTTATTCGGCTCTGCAGGTTACCTTCCCTCTCTTTCTCGCTTCTCCTCTCCCAAGCAACTTCCTGCCTCTGTAGCAAGTAGCTTAAGAAGAACTAGAATTTTGATACTACAACTCCTGACAGGGTGTCAGTCTGCAGCTTCACAGAAAGTGAAGCGTGTACTGCTCTGCATACGTGAAAGAAGTTGCTAAAGGACTCCTTCTGGTTCGCACACCCGAGAAGGTGACAGAGATTTTCTCTGTCTCCTCTGTCTTAACGGATAGATATGCAAGTGTTGAGCACGGGTCCAGCAGTAACGGCTAGAACTGACCTCGGTGAGAGACGAGTGGCTCTGAACCTCAGCAACTACTGACGCAAAAAAGATGCTGCTCTAGAATTGGTTACATCTGAAACCACCGCGTTTTTTTCAAAGTCGGGCTTTCAGCGAAAAGAGGCTGGCCCCTCCCTCTGAGCTCGTCCCCTTTGGCTAACCCAATCCACTGATGCTATCCTCCTAGGTCCCTCCCAGATTCCTAAACGGCTAGTTTTTCCTAGCGGTCTGCTACCATTCAGGGCTACCATCATTCAGTGTTTGCCACGTGGGGGTCACTGTGCTTAAATGCTCTAAGATTATTAATATTTAACAGTGGGCCCCACAAATACATGCGTTACTTTTTTACTGTGAATTTTTACTTTAACATTATAGTAGCCGTCTGCGTGTCTCCATACCTTTCCCTGAGGGATACAGGAAGTAATGTTTGTGTTTACTCACTTGGTACAATGAAAGGCAGGTGTGTGTATAAGTGCAAAAGTGTCAAACCAGGATTTACATCCGCTGCTCTGTGGATCAGTTTTTGTGTATGTTTACCTGACCATCAGAGACAGCATAATACACTCACATCACTCAAGAATTTGTTGGGTTTTTTTTTTAAAGTTTTCTTTTTATTTTATTTATGTATTTTTGGTAGTAGTAGCCTATTCAGTACAATGGCACATGAAAAAAAAGATTTGCAAGTTTTTGTTTTTGTTTTTTTTTTTGAGGCAAGGTCTTGCTATGCTGTTCAGGCTGGCATTGAGCTCACTTTGTAGCCCAGGCTGGGTTGCAATAACCCTCCTGCCTCAGCCTCAGAATTACAGGCTGTGCCACTATGCTTGGATCAGATTTGCAACTTTTAAAGATCAAAAGTGAATCATGGACTAGAGATCTTTAGCTCAGTGGCCTAAGCACCTGCCTGGCAAGCACAAGATTGTAAATTCAATCCCCAGTACCAAAAAAAAAAAAAAAAAAAAGTGAATCATCAGATTATTCATACATGGATAATAAAGATGAACCATTATGATAACATGAACCATACATGTTTTCATAACAGAAGAGTGGTATGACTATAATGATGACGACTTTAACATATTTAGCTAGTTGAACTGTTGCAAAATGGTCACTCAACCAAATAGAATAATCCAGTGTTACAACTAGGTCCAAAAATATAGTAAAGGTCTTCATAGGAATGAAAAATATTGGACAGAATGCCAGCACTGTCATTCTGCATTGGAAACTGTAGCAGATAAAATGCTGTCAATGGGCTGGGGACTTAACTCAGTGGCACAAGCACCTGCCTAGCAAGCACAAGGTTATGAATTCAATCCCCTGTACAAAAAAAAAAAAAAAAAAAAGTTCCAGATGCATAAAATACACAAAGGCCAAGATACAAGTAGAACATTCTGTATATACTAATAGTCATATTTAAAAATGTATTTGTGGGGCTGGGGATTTAGCTCAGTGGCATAAGTGCCTGCCTCGCAAGCAGGCAGTCGTGAGTTCGATCCCTGGTACCGATAAAAACGAAAAAGACAAAAAAAAAAAAAATCAAACCAGAGAACCCTATAGTACAATATTTGGATTTCAGAAAGATTTACATTGGTCTCATATATGACAAAGAAAAACAAAAAGGTACTGCTAAATGTCAACATTGTGTCATGATGGAAATATTGATAGGGAAACCTCAACAAAACACAAAATGGGGGGCTGGGGATTTAGCTCAGCAGCATAAGTGCCTGCCTTGTAAGCCGGCAGTCGTGAGTTTGATCCCCGGTACCAATAAAAAGGAAAAAGACCAAAAAAAAAAGCACAAAACGGAAGCCTGAGAGGGCAACTTTCTTTTCTTCTTCTTTTTTATTTTTAACTTTTTTCTTTTCCTTCTTTTTTTTTTTTTTTTTTACTGGGGATCAAACTCACAACCTCACTTTGGCAGGCAGGCTCTTTGAGATGGCAGTTTTCTACAACAAAACCGAAGACAGAGTGGATGTTATTAATGAGTTATGCAACAATGTGGTCTCATGTGAAACACAAAACATTGGCCAGTGTTGTGTTTTACTCAATTCTAAATATCTATGGCATAAATAGTTTACAAATAACAAGTGCAAAATGTTACAGAGAAATTTTCTTAAAGGATTGGGACTGGAACTCATAATTCACAGCCAAGGAAAAACAAAATGTTCTGCCTCAGGAACTATGCAAAAAGCAAAATGTAAATCACACTGCTGAGTTGACAAGTGAACAGGCAGGTGCAGCATTCCAAAGACTTACTATGACAACAGGAAAACCAAAAAGAAATCAATTGTGCCAGGCAGGAAAAGAAAATATATACGCTATCAGGGTAAGCAACATTTGTATATGAAACATGCAATTTTCATGTGTGAAGACTACCTTCTGTGTGACTATTGAAGCAAAGGTTACTTTTTGTTGTAGAGCTCTATCAATATTTTCATTTCACATAGGTTTTTATTTCTGATGTTATCTCTTAGGTTTTGTAAGCAAATAAACAGCTGATGTGAAAATGTTGATGTCTATTCGAAGCCCTTATTACACATTAGATATTTTATTTTACTGACATCTTATTTTCTTATTATTTAGCTGTGAAAATTAAAGATTATTTTTTGTAGAGTGCTGTTGCTATTTACATTGTACTTTATACAGGAATTTATTCCTGATGTCATCTATCTCAGGTTTTGTAAGAGAATACAACTGATGTGAAAAACAAGCAATACATGTTCTAGAAGAATTTAATGCTTTATTTTATTAATATTTTATATTCCTTTTAGCTATACATTGAATAAATATAACAAGTACTTCCTCAAGCAAAAAAAAAATTGGAAAAACAGAAGTGGAATAAAAATATTGCCAAGATGTCAATAGAAGATTATGCACAGTTGGCAGACTTGTGCATAATTTTTAGCTTCTTTGTTATTTTCCCACTTTCCAAATTACCCACAGTGATGAACCTTAGTAAGAAACAAGTTAATTTAAACATACTTATAGTATAGACTACAGGCAGGGAAGTAAAGTTTTTCAGTTACATTTCAGTTATTTGGGTAAGATGGAGATCACAGATTCCATTCATTTTAATATAATCAGTCCTATGCCCACTAGCTTGTATCAGTACAGCAATATCAAAAACCTATATTAGGTTTTGTAATTTGGATGCATTCTATTACTGGTCTCATATTCATTTCATGCATGTCATTTGTCATTTCCAATGATTAGAATTAAGTAATTACTTGGAAAGTAGAATTAGGTTAGGGTTTCTTTATTTTAATTCACATTTCACAAATGTCAAATAAATTGGGTTGACCAAATTTTCAATAAGCCATTAATAAACTTTGCAAACACACACACACACACACACACACACACACACACACACACACAAACTTCCTGTCAAAACAGCAAGACCAGTGAGATGTTTTTTATGGTTTGTTTCTAGATGTTTCCCCAAAGCCTCATTCAGTCATAGAGTCAGGCTTTCAGAGTTTGTGACTGATTCATGGTCCAAAGCTGGGGTTATAGCACCCTGGAGTAGATGTAACTCACACACAATATAAGGGACAAAAAGAGTTCTCTTTTGCTCTTCCCATTTTGCCCTTTTTGCTCTTATCACTTGCAGCCTCTATGAATGGTTGCCCCTTAACTATGCCACTCTACCTTGGAGCCAACTGATTATGGACTGAAACTTCCACAAACTGTGAGCTAAATAAACCTTTCCTTCCTTCATTTTGGGTGCTGGGTATTTTGTCTCAGCAACAAGAAAAAAGTAATTAACAGATGTCAAGTATGTCCTGCAAAAAAGACCAGAAAAGCAAAACACATGTTGTCAGTGTGATATGTATGTATGCAATATGCTATTCTCATGAATGAAGAGTACCTTATTTGTAAAACTTGAAGTAGATATTTTTTTGTAGAGTAATGGTATTTTCATTGCAGCTCACATAGGAATTTTTTTGGTACTGGGAATCAAACTTGGACCTTACACTTGCCTGGCAGGCACTGTGCCACTGAGTTAAATTCCCAACCCCACAAAGGAATTTATTTCTGTTGTTCATTTTTAGACATCATATACTAAAAATCAGTCAATGTTGACAATTTTGATTTTTTTATAAATCCTCAATAAACATAAAAATGTGATACTCTTAGTTTTTGATATTTTTCCTGTTAAGCACTCATTGTTTAATAAAACTTGACAATTAAAATTAATAATTCATCAATAGAAATATTCTAAAGAGTAAGTGTGGGTTTGACACACCCAGGGTTATGTACTTTTAGATTAAAAATGTGTTATACTCCAAGGGTTTTTAATACAACAGCTGGACGTGGTGACACATGCCTGTAATTCCAATACTTGGGAGGCTGAGACAGGAGGATTGCTGTGAGTTTTGAAGCCAGCCTGAACTACACAGTGAGACACTGTCTCAAGAAACAAAACAAAACAAAACACCTTAGCTGTCAGGCTAGTGAGATTAATATTATCAATCCCATTTCATAGAAAAAGTAACCAGTGTTCCAGGAAGGTACAACCTGCTCAGAAAGTTACATATAAGTTGTTTATAAAAAGCTGCATGCCAAGGCTGGGGATTTAGCTTGGCAGCAGAAGTGCCT